CATCCTATAATTTTTCACATGGGCGCGCCTGAAAGTGCGGCACGCCATCCCATCCACTAATTGGTCATGATTATCCCCATTGAAGTGATTTTTTGGAAGGCGTCCCATCGTTCAGACAAAACCTGTATATACTATATTCAAAGGAAGTTTTGTTCGTCAAAAACTTCTGAATTACGGACGAATGTCCAGGGGCAGTCTTGTCATCATGTCAACCACATAGTGAGCAAGAGCAGTTTGCGGGTGCGAGCAGCAGAGAAGAGCAACAGTTCGGGAACACGTGAATTTACGGGTGAACGCCAAACCCTCTGTTTTTTCGGGGGATGCGTCCCCTGGGTGTCACTGTTTCCGCAGGTGCGGGCCTCGATCTGCAAAAGTTGCCGAAAAAAGTGCACAGGACTGTGGCAAGAGCTCGATTTGCACTGCAAAGTGTTAAAAAAAACTGGCATGCTCAGAGCACTTTGGAAGATGGGGCCAGCAAAATTTGCACGAGACTGTAGCGAGAGCTCGATTTCTCATAAGCGCCGAAAACTGACACGTTCGGAGCAGTGCGGAATCGTCCCCATTGTCAGCGCTGCACGAACATTGGTCGATTTGGTGCGACACTCCTGCTATCCGCGTTTGCAACTGTTTGTGACAAAATGCAATGGCATGGCTACGCGCAGCAAAGCACCAGTGATGGGCGGGGACCCTGGCAAGCGGGATTGCAGCTGGAGGTTGCTAAAAGCATTGTAACAGCCGCGCGAAGAAAAGAATTGGGTTGCAGAAGTAGCCCAGATAATAAGTGGCTGCTCAGAGAAGAAATAGCTCAGAGAGAAGAGGTGCCCGAGCGAAGGGGTCGCTCAGTAGCTCAACAAAGAAAATAGTAGCTCGCCCATCCATCCAGTAATTCATCCATCCATCCATTCAATGGCTGTTTATGTTTTTTTTTTTAACTGCCATGGGCGCGGCCGTTCTCGTGGCCCTCCCGTAGGCGACGCCACCTAAATCTAACAGCGCCAACTACTTGAAACCACCACCCCCGGTTTGCGGCCACCTCTATAATTTTATCTTTAATGTTTCTTTGCCCGCCTGCCCCTTCAAAGAAATTGTCATTAAAAATGGTCATGGCCAAGGCCATAACGTTTTCGGTCCATTTGCCTCTTCTTACGCCAGCCCGAAAAGGGCCCCCCAGGATTTGCGGTTCAAGGAACCGGTTGTAGGACACAATGCGGGATGGATGTCTAATTGGCCTTCTCAAGATGTGCCCTAGCAATTTTAACTGGTGGAGCCGTATTTCTTGACTCAACAGCGTTTCACGCAACTGCATTCGAACTTCATGGTTGCTGACCCTGGTTATACCTTGTTGCATGGCACCCCAAGTAGTAGGGATGTTAGCAATAGCTCGTAAACATCTAAAGTGGAAGGAATCAACATGATTTAGCTGGGAGTCGGTGAGCCATAGTGTGGAGAGGTTATAAATGAGTTTGGACACAACGCATGCCTTGTAGATGCGAAGCTTTTTACGAACCGATAGCCCTGCATGTCTCCAAACACGCTTTAATTTCTGGAATACCTGCCTAGCTTCACCTATCCGTCGCCGAACTTCTGGACCAGGTTTACCAGTTTGGTCAATAAGCCCCCCTAAATATACAATCGAGGATACTTGCTGAACTAAGCTGCCATCTCGAAAGGCAATGGAAGCGTCACTGTTGTATAGAACTATAGTTTAGTTTTATCCATGTTCAGATGTAAATTGTATTTGGAAGCTTCATCCTGCACGTACCACAAGAGGTCCTGCATGTGTTCCCTTGTCCTTGCGATTAAGACTGTATCATCAGCAAACTCTATGTCGAAGAATGGGATTTGAGGGGTAACTGACAAGGGGTGCTTGGCAAGGTACTTAGTTTGGACATCGTAGAACAACACCGTTTGAAGGAGAATGAATAGCAGCGGACTTAATGTGCATCCTTGGCGGATGCCGCTCTTCTGCTCCTTGCAGCTAGAGATTTGGTCATCCAGAATTACTTCAAAAAGAGGGTTGCTAACTAACTCTTTCACCACTGCGCACATGTGATTGGGCACTCCGAGTCGCTGCAACGCAAGATGCAGTGCGGGTGGCCTAATCTTGTCGAATGCTTTGCTCCAATCAAGGAACATAAGGTAAAGTACTTGATATTTCTTGGCGTCAACTAGGTCTTGTAGCCGTCTGACTAGGTATATTGCTTCAGATGTACTCCGTCCCTTCCTAAATCCAAATTGCAGCTCCCTAATCCGGTCATCTAGCCCTGCTGCCAATCTGTTAGCGATAATGCGAGCGTACAGTTTATAACACGTTTGGAGCAAACTTATAGGTCGGTAGTTGGCCGGGTCGGTTGCAGAACCCTTCTTAAAAATACCTACTACTTGGGCAAGTTTCCATTGTTGTGGACTAGTTTGGGAGTCCCAACACAATTGAAACAATGAAACCAACGCGTCCAAGCCCCGTCCCTCTAGTCGTTTCCAGAAATCGTTTGGGATATTGTCTTTACCAGCTCGTTTGGCTGCTTTTGATTGTTTCACTGCCAATTTTAATTCTTCGATAGAAATGGTCGCTTCAGAAATGGTCGGAGGATTCTGATAAATAGGTGTGGTGTCTAGTCCTTGCGGTTGCCCTGCTTCCTGCCATTGTTTGGTGGCTAGATGAGTAGCGAAAATTTCCGCGTTGCTCCTGGGCGGTCCCGGCCCGGTAGTGTCCGTTAATTAGTGTGAACGCCTTGTGCGGGAACGGCTTCTTCAGATTGGTGATGGGTCTCCAGTCATCTGTGCTAAGCCGCTCTTCTAGCCATTTGCGTTTGTCAAGTTTTGCTGCCTTTCTGATTGTCTTGTTGAGTTCAGCTACTTGCGCTAGGTCGCCTTGTTGGCGGAGCTGCCCCCTTCTCTCCAGGAGATTCAATGTAGTTTGTGTGATCCATGGTTGTTTAGGTTGAAGGGTTTGTTTTGGTATGTGGGTGTCGATGGCTTGGGCATACAATGTACTTAGGGTGCCCCATCGAGCGGTAGGGTCCTGGTAAGGTATCTCCGATTCGAGCATTGTAGTGATTGTGTCGTTCATTGCATCTATTTGGGCTGCCGTTGCCTGTTGGAAGTCCCAACGTGGGCGATGTGCCGCCTTTGGTTTAGCTCCGAGTTTAACTTGCAAGCACAGAACAACGGGAAAATGGTCGGAATCCAAATTTGCTCTTGGCTGGGTGTAAATATTCTTGCAGGAGTTACGCCAACGCTGAGGTAAAAGGCAAAAGTCCAGTTGCGCAAAGTTAGCGGGATCCCAATCGGTATTATCTGGAGGCAAAAAATGCGTACTCGGTTCTTTGAAGGTTACCTGTTTGGCTGCTGGTTGTTGGAACCATGTGTTGGCCACGATTAGATCATTTGCACGACAAAAATCCAAAAGTAGGAACCTATTGTCGGTCTCTTCCCCCACAGCTGTCCACCCTTTCCCAAACATGTGTGGTCCCAAAACATCCTCTTCGCCATGCAGTCTGCCTTGAAGTCGTGAGTTGAAGTCCCCTAACACAACAAAAGGTCCTTTGCGAGCAATTTGGGAAATAGCCTGTTGTAATTTTTCAAAATGGTCTCGACGTTCATCCTCTGGTCGGGCATTCTGTGGTACATATGTATTTAGGATATTTAATTCTCCTCCTCGTATAAGCACTGAGATGCAAGCAATTCGGCTGTTAATGAAAGAAGTGCGCAAAAGGGCATTCCGGGCCATTGGGGACAATACGAAGCCTACTCCTGCATACTCTGGTTGATTGGTATTCACAGTGCTGACAGTCAGGAAGGTAAAATTGTCAACTACATACTGGGTTGTGTTCTTAGATCTCGTCTCTTGCATACACAATATGTGAATGTCGTGCCTGCGCATATGATCAATAATTTGTCTGTGCATAGTTGCTTTCAAAAGGGAGCGGACGTTGAAGGTGACGATTTTGAGTTTAAAACCATATGCTAAAGATACTTGCGTTCCACTGGCTTTGTTGAGGTTGCGGTGCTCCTCATAGAGGCGCGTGTGTGAAGCTAGACGCGCGTCTTTCAAGGGCATGAAGGTTTCAGTCTTGCGTGTTAGACCTGGGATGCGGGCGCCCAACCCACCTCCCCCATGGTCCTCTGCTACGCATAGCATGTTAGATTTACACCACCGATAGATGCGTCTTTGTTCGTTGCGTTTTTGTTGTCGGTTGCATTGTCGTTGTAAACGGGCGGCTTCGGACCTGAAACCTCGTTTTTTGCTGGACCGGTTTTGCTCTCTCTGTTGCCGCTGGGGCCTTTTGGGGATGTGGTATGTTGTGTCATTACTGTGTGCTGTCAAGAAATGGTCGGTAGAAATGGTCATAGGGTCAGCGCCCCGCGGTTCGCCCGGCTCGCCTACTGGGCGGCGAGATTTGTTATCCCAATCAGAAATGGTCGTTAAGAGTTGGTGTGGCTGAAACTGATGCTGTATGGGGTGGTGGTTAGCTGCGTCCTACTGGCGCCTTTGCGCCGCATGCTTGCCCTCACCTTTGCGCTGCCCTCTCAGGTCAGGAAGTCCTCCGTCCATCTCATCGTCCTCATCTTTGGTGTGGGGTTGCTTCCGCTGATGCTGCAGTGTGGCGTACTGTGTGTCAAGGGCTGCTGCTGTCTGCTGGGTGAGTGTCTCGATGTGAATGTTGAAAAAGTCCTGTGGCTTGTAGCCGTCTGCTCTGCGTGTGGTTCCCTTTTGTCCGCCCCACTGCTGCCATTCGGATGTGTATTTCTCTGTGAATTGATCTTTCAGGGCTTCAGCAACATAGATGGTGATTTGGGTTTTGTCATGTTCTGCTGTTTGCATGCTGAGGATCCATTCGTTGTTGTGCCATACTGAGCTCATTTCCCAGGTTGGCTTGTAGCGTTGCTGCTTGCCTGTGAGTTGTGAGAAGACTGCTATTGCACAGCGGGGGGGTTGGTCGGCTTCGCGCTGGTATTTGGGGATCTGGGCTCTACCCACTGCGATTTGTCCATGGCAAATCAGGGCATCCTTTCTCACAAGCTCCACAAATTCGTTTCTGGCCTCTTTTGTGAAGAATTCCACTATGCTGAATTGGGACCATCCTTGTTTTGTGCGAAGGGTGGGGGTGCTTGCGTATTTTCCCTTGAGGTTGTCATGGCGATTGACCAGCTGTTCAACAGCTTGTGTGCGGTCTGCTGGTCCGGCTGAGTCTGGCCAGCTGGAGACAATGGCCTGCTTGGATGCTTCGAGTTGCTGTTGCTTTTGCACTTGGTCCTTTGTATGTGCTGACCTTTGGTCAATAGTGTTGAGCCTGCCTCCTTGTGTGTGGACTAAGGCTTGTAATGCTAGGAGGTCTTTGCGAATTTGGTCTTGCTCACCGTTTGGCGGGGTTTGTTCTGCCTCATAGCCTGTTCTTGGTGAGCGACTCCTCATCTCGTCTGCCATTGCTCCCAGAGCTATGGATCTTTCACAATTCAAAAATGTTCGCGGTGGGATTTACTGCATCTACCCGGTTCCCTCGTGAGCCTGTTATTTATGGTTACTTGATTCATTGGTTCATGGATTCATGGATTCACTGATCCATTGGCTAATGGGTTCATTGGTTCATTGATTCACTGAATCATTGATTCATTGATTCATTGGTTCACTGATTCATTGATTCATCGACTCACTCTCATGCATTGATTCATTGATTCACTGAGTCATTGGTTCACTGAGTCATTGTTTCATGGATTCATCGGTTCATTGCTTCATTGATTCACTGAATCATTGTTTCATGGATTCATCGGTTTGTTGCCTCATTGATTCACTGAATCATTGCTGATTCGTTGCTTCATCTACTTACAATTTCACTCATGCATTGATTCACTGATTACTGGATTCATTGGTTCACTGGTTGGTTGATTCATTGAGTCATTGATTTGTTGTTTCATTGATTCATTATGTTTCACTGATTCATTGGTTCATTGGTTCATCGACTCATTGGTTCATTGGTTCATTCACACGGATTCTTTCGTGTCCTTTCAGCATTGACATCTCAACAACACGTCCCGTTCGTTGATGCACCTCACAACTTCAACTGCTCATGGCCTCTGCATCTCAAAAACGTTTCCGTGGGCCATTGATTTCTTATAGTCATCTCCTAGTTTCGAAACTTTCGCCCCGGCGCATGCCAGGCACTATTCGGTAATTATATAGTATAATCACATCACACTATCTCTCATGAAATCTCACCAGATCCCTATTTGTGTTCCCACTTGGGGTTTTCTTAAAATGGGGGATCCCCAAAACCATAGGTTTCAATACTAACAAGGTCCCAATGACTTGGATGATTTGGGGATACCCCGAATTTAGGAAAACTCCATTGATACTCCCAATCTTCCCATGCAATCTCCTTCATCTCCACCCCTTGGGTCAGGACCCACCATCTGCGACTCCGGCACTGGTGCTGTACCACTGGAGTCTACGCAAGGTGAAGGGGTTCAAATTCAGCAGCAGCGGTTTTCGCCCGAAGATGTGAACGTCGATGCCTGGAGTAAGCGGTTCATAAAATATGCGGTGGCACTCCTGCTGCCTGAAAAAGTTGTGTCTTCATGGGAGTTCTGTGTGTCTTCAGGTTTAGTAGCATTTTTTAATGATAAAATGGATTAAAATTGTGTTTTAGTTGAAGTTTCATTGATTTATGATGTTCTAATAGGACATGCCATGAAATACCACTAATTTTGGGGACCCGCATGCATTAATAAATAGAATACATCCCGGTGTTCTGTTTGAAGGTTCTGTTTGAAAGCGTCTCTATTTGGGAGAAGGGATTACAGGAAAATCCCAAAGAAGGGGAGAAATTGGAGTCCGGATTGAATTGACAACAATGATACTTGGTATAGTGGCAATACATAAAGCAAAAATAAATACTTCAAGAGCCCTTAGGGGAAAAAAAACTATAATAAGGGTTTCCTCTCTTGTCAGGCTGTAAGACAATAGGTTGTTTTGCTGAACACACCCTCCTCCTCACAAGAAAAATGTGCCCGCTCTTGGAAAAGTCTTTCCTCCCAACCTCCTTGGATGGTCAGATTACTGGCACCTGATGGTAGGTATGTCCCCCCTAGTTGTGGACAAAGCCATGTCAGACTTCCGCTGCTTCACCTGCAGCATCGTCTTTGTGCAACTGGCACGACAGCGCAAAGGGCTCCAGCAGTGGTTCAAAACGACCCACCTGCCACATCAAAGTGGTGGTCACCGGGGTCATGATGATAGGTCATCTGGCTGTGTCATCATTCACCAGCGCGAAATGTCGGGCAATTTGGGGTGGCTCTCCTTACTGACCAGCATTTATGATGATGTCGTTGCATGACTGTGCACGGCAAAAAGTGGCCATGGTCATTCGGATTATCACAGACAAAACTCTGAAACCTGGACTCAAGGGGTCCATGATGTTCCGCGTTTCAAAACGAACTTTTTGGGTGTTCCAGCCGTTCATTCATTCATTCATCCGTTGGCTCGCTGGGGTTGTTGAAATATGTTGATGGCTCGCTAGTTCCGGAATCATCCTGTGGCAGTTAGCCTTCAAAAAATACCCTCACCACCAACCTCCAAGTTGAAGCCATCTGCTCTCAGCCGCATCATCTGCTTACAAGGTGCACCTGCCGTACCCCCATGGTACAGTAGGGCACCAGTGGCCATTTCAATCCACAGGGCTTTGTATGAAAATAGGGCACCCGATACCCTAATGAATAGTATCAATCATCACTTGCTCCATTCAAAACAATGTCATGTGAACATCGGCAGCCCCAATTTTCTTACACGCAGTTCAGCCAAATCCCAATTATTCTACGGGCGAAATCAAAAACAACAACAACAACAACAACAACAATGTGACAAAAAAAAAACGGCAACCTGGGCTCTGCCGTGTTTCCAGGCCTTCTGACAGCGCCATGGTCTCCAGTGGCATGCTGATGCTGCTGCCTTGCTGACAGACCTCTACAGACCTTAAGGCCACAAAGAGTCGAAGCACCGGCGCGCTGCGGTCGATGTCGCTGTTCAGCATGATGCCAATGTTCCTGGGCACTGTAGAAACGGAGTACCAGAAAAGGTGTGTCTTACATCATCTTACCGTTTATCATTGGATTTGACTCTTCGGCATCTTTCTGGGGGGGGCTTAGAGTTGTGAGTGGGCCAAATTAGACCTACAAAAACCACAAATTCTAGCATTGCTGGTGAATGTTCAGACCCAACAACCCAAACGCTGTAAATTGAAGATGTTGTTGGGAACCACTCAATCGTTGTCATTCCCCAATGCTATACCCCATAGCTTTGGAGACAGCAAGTATATAGCTCATTCAGTCCCATTCCCAAGCGAATCTGAGCCACTGGATATCCAGGATTGCTTGGAGAATACGCGTTGGTTTTTCCTCTGCTACTGCTGCTGCTACCTCCGGCAGCCGATGGCAAAAGGAGGCAAACGGCGTTCGCCAATGAATGAAGCGTGAGACTCGTGTGTTTCCTCAGTTTTACTGTAAAATCTGCAGTGGCAAGTCTCCATTGTCGATGGGCAATTGCCAGAAAATCGGCTGATATAGTTGAGAATAACCATTATTGATCACGGATGATGATGGCAGTTTTCCATACTGGTCACGAGGCTACTTAGTATGGCTCAGCATACTGGACCATCATTCTGCTATGGGACCAACCATGACTGGGGGTCACTTTACACAATCCCGGATTGAGGTATGCCCAGTTTGATGAACCCAATTGGGGATTGTTTATCTTGGGCTTATGTACCACATTATACAATGTGGATATGGTTTGTGGCTAATGAAACACCCATGTATGGTGACTGAATAAATTTTGATGGAGTTCAATGGGATAGCTCAGGCTGGCAACAGGGCTGCATGCAGATGGGAGAAACTGGGCTTGAATAGGTGTTAGTGACCTCTGGCAGCATGAATGTGCACAGCTCTGCTTACTTTTTTCTATCTCCCTTACCTTGATGGGATTTAAACTAACCATACTACTATCCATTTTGGTGCACAATCTTGAGCCATGCTCCCCGGGCAGAACACGTGGCACCTTGGCCACCTTCTGTTCTTCGCGCTTGACCTCCTCGGCCATTTCCTCCGCTTGTTCCTCCTCCGTCTTTTTGTCCCTCAGCATGGGTCCACGGTCAATTCTTGCGGGCATCCAAGGAGTTTTCTGAACCTTGACTTGTGGGTACATCAGCATCCTGAAATTTCGGGCTGCTTCTGTCTCTAAATAGGATCCCATGATTTTAAACCGCATTTTTCTCATATTTTTTGCCATTGATTGGGCTAAACCCCCTTCTCTGGTAAAATCAACAATCAAATGCAACATCAAGTTGGCTAGTTATATCCCCATGAAACCCCCATTCAGCTCAAGAAAAATCCCATGCTCTCTCATCATGTTCCTACTATAGCCATTCCCAAAAAGATTTTTTTTAAAAAGTAGATCTACCAATTAGAGTCCGTGAAGATTCATTTTCAATCATTATCCTTTTGGTGTTTTCTATAAAAATTGCCACGCTTAATGTACTTGGTGGTCATTTCTTAGACATCCCCCCTGTTGTTGGAACCCCGCGGATGTTGCAACCGCGGCGCCGCAGGTTCGCCGCCTCCAGCGCCATGGCATCTTGGAGAACTGCAGGGACCGTGGCCAAGATTTGGATCAAGTCCTGATGCTCCCGGCTATGTTGGCATTGTAACCCCACCAACAGCCCATATATTTTTGATATATATATATATATAGTGAATAAAATGATTTAATCATGTGTCCTATGCAATCCCATGGGCTTATATAACTATAGTATAAAACAAACAATATAGTTATGAGTCATAATCATGATACATGATGCATGAACGATATGTTAAACTAACAAAGTCATAGTTTCCTTCTACAGTTAAAAAATATGTTATAAAATGTTGAGTCTTTAAACCTACTTAGCTAACTTACGGGCAGCAGTTTCTAGCTCGAAACCACGCCAAAAAGTGTGAGTCACTCACGTCCCAACGGAGAATTTATCTTCATTTTGATGGATGTTCAATGATGTTCATATATGTTCTGAAATTCCAGGATATGCCGCCCTGGGCAACTATGACTTTTGCACTTCATCTCATCCTAAAAATCAAGCGAATGATGTTCAGAGAGAACTGCTAAGCCCAACAAGCATTTCCAGAAGGTATTCATGACATCAATGTTGTGGACCCATGGTCCTGGACCAAAATCCCTGCAAAATGCGCATGAAACCTATGCCCTGGACCCCACCATCAGAAAACGCAATGGTGATCCCAAGTGTTGGTGATGCCGATGGCTCAACAATATTACGTACAACAACCCCGCAAAATACATATGGTTTAATCGATAATTTTTGTATAGTTCAGTACCAAAAATGGACCACCCCCTCCGGCAATCAAACATTGCAATTGAACATCCCTTGTAAATGGAAGTTTAAATGGGAAGAACATCTATAAATTGTGGACTGCCCATTGCCATTTTTGATTGTCAGATTGTAATGATGTTTGTTTTGCCTTGGCAAACAATCCCCATCATTGTTGGTTTTATATCCGTATGTATACATCCTATACCAAAAAAATGTGACATTTTATCCCATTCTGGGGAATCTACCATGATCCCAGTATCTATTGTTGCCATGTAAATCCATTTAATGGCTTAACTGAAGGATATTTAGCCACGTCAAAATCCCATGTTTGTTGGCTCATGTTGATTATCCCACAATCTACCATGGAGAATCTATTGTTATTGTGTTCCTTGGTTATATATACCAGTATATCCTGTTATAATCTGCCATACAACTATCCCAGTTGTATCCAGTATTGGATTAACTTTTATGTTGCCATGTTAAAAATTCCAGGATTGCTGCGTATATATCCCAAAACTCTAGCGTACCCATCATCATATCCCATAAAAAAAAAGACCAGTCATATCCAATATATATGGAGAACCTACTGCTCTCCCAGTATCCATTGTTCATGTTTATTCATCGCCATCAAATCCCGTGAAAACATCATAAAATCAACTTATCAAAGGGTTAAGTTCTTGGATTTCCACTATCTTCCCTCAAATCCAATGGGTTATCATGATTTTCCTTCTTAGGATCATTATTCTAATTACCATCCCATTGTATGTATCCCAGTTGCCACTTGTTGTTATATATCTATATCAACCTAAATCATGGATATCTATGCATATATAGTTATATAATTAATTATAATTAACTATACAGTACATAAAATCTAAAACAGACCATAGGTCTTGGTGGGCAACTCTACCATAGTCTTCTACCGCGGCACGGGTGAGGCTTCAACCTCCATCGACTCCAGCTGCACAATGACCCGCGCGCAGGCGTCGTTGAAGGTCATTGTGGTGATCAGCGGCCGCATCCTCGGCCGCAAGACCACGGCCGGCTTTTTGGAGGATTGGAACCTGGAAAACAAAGAAAAAGATGAAAGATGATTTATAGTGATTTATTCTGATTAATCAACTTGAGATATTTTGCCCCCATCGACCAACAAATATCCCATCACACAAAACTATAGCGGACCCACCAGAAATCACAGGAAATGTTGCCAGGGCATCAAGAATCTCTTGATTTCATCAAACAAATAAGACACAAAGAACAACATGGCGGCAAATCTTGACTTGCCAACGTGCCAGAATATGCTTAACATTGCACATGCTAGCACACCCCACACACAAATACATAAATTTACATATGAATAAATATATAACTAAATAACAAATATATCTAGCTCTATCTCTCTCTCTCCCCCTCTCTCTCTCTCTCTCCCTCCCTCTCTCTCTCTCTCTCTCTCTCTTTCTCCATCCATCGCCTTCAGACCATAGCACACACACATAATATATATATATATATATGATTACATAATAATAATTATACAGTTCTTTATCCATCCACGTATCAAACATCTCTATCTACTCCATCTCTAGCCAGCTCAAGCCACCTCGGGCATCCTATCGCCAGGGCACGAGATCATGGGATGCTTCACCCCCTGCAGCGTCACCACTGCCAGCACCGGCTCACGGGCTGCTGGCTGGAGCTTCACGACGAGTTCCCCTGCGTCAGGCGTCAGGTTGTGGCTCTCCACCTCCAACACGCCCAAGGATATGTGCACGGCAGCCTGGTATCATGGGATGGCTTGAGGCCAGGTCAGGCTATGGAGATTGAGTTGTTTTGGATCATGGAAGATATGGAAGTAGAAGATGAGAAAAAGATGAAAACACTGCAGGGAAACTGGATCAGTTGTTGGAAATTCAGCATATGGCACTCCAAGACTCAGTTTCCTGGCAAGTGTCCCAGCCACTCAATGATTCAGTGCCATCTGTATGTTAAAGTCATAGTCCCCTCGCTAAACGCACCAAAACTCACTTAGAACCGACTACTCTACTCGCGCAATGCTCTTTTTTTAGTCCGTATCATCCATTCAACTGTCTGGTCGGGGTTCCATGGGTCATTGGTATATAGTACAATATAGTGCAACTGCTATCATCATCCAGGGTTTTGTTTTCTTGTAATGAGATTGCTACTGTTTCATCAGAAAGGGACCACAATATGGTGGAATGATATTGACGAAACAAATCAACAAATCACAATGCAACAGAAACAAAGTAAAAAAACAAAGGAAACATAGAAAACATCAAGAACAAAAAGCTTTGATATGAGTAGAAACAGTCAGAAATTATCAAAAAACATCACCAAACACCGTAAAAATGGGGCCCTGGTGGCGTCCCTGTCCCCAGAATACTGATCTTATCTCGGCACTATAGTCACTTTGCTCATGATTCCATCCTAGTTCTCAGCCACCTTTTTTCCCCACCTTGCCCCGCACAGGGAAGTAGACCCGTGGTGCTTGGAGCTCCACGTGAATTTCCAACTCGTCGGGGGTGCGTTTCTTCGCCTCCTGCAGCATCTCCTGGCCCGAACTCGTCTCCATCCACGCCTGATGGGTGGCCGGGTGGTCGAACCAAACAAAATTGGTGTGGCAATTCGTAAGCTACAAAGATATGGCGTATGATTAGGTAGATGATGCTCATTATAATCCTGACGACATATAATTATAAGATGTTATAAGATCGAATAAGAATGGACAGAAATGTAACTTATCAAAGGGATTTAGTTAGAAAACTGACGACGGTCATGGTTAGCATTCACACCATCATGTCAACCACATCATCATGTCAACCACGTCATCATATCAACCACCCATCATCAAAGAGCTGGGAAGTGTAACTGTTCGGAAGCGTGCGAATTCACGGGTGAAGACAGTCTCGGGCACGAAACCCTTTGCTTTTTTCGGGTAATGTGGCTCCTGGGATCGCCGACGGGGTGTCTCTGTTTCCGCGGTTGCAGGCCTCGATCTGGGAAGTTGTCGACAAAAAGTGCACGAGACGCACGAGACTGCAGCGAGAGCTTGATTTCAAAAGAATTTGCTTGCACTTCAAAACCTCCCAAACAAAACTGAAGGGATCCGAGAACTTTTGGAAGCTGAAGCTGGTAAAATGTGCATGCGACTGTAGCGAGAGCTCGATTTCACATAAAAATCGCTTAAAACTGAGGAGCTCAGAGCACTTTTGGGGGATGAGGTTGGCTAAATTCATTGATTCCTTGATTCGTTGATTCAATGATTCATTGATTCGCTGGGTCATTGATTCATTGAATTGTTGAATCAATGATTCATTGAGTAAGTGATTCACTGGTTCATTGATTTGCTGATTTTGTTGATTTTGTTGATTGGTTGATTGATTGATTTATTGATTGGTTGATTGATTGATTGATTGATTCACTGATTGGTTGATTGATTCATTGATTGACTCATTGATTGGTTCACTGATTCATTGAATCGTCGAGTCACGTCGAGTCATTGACTCATCGACTCATCGATTCATTAGTTCACTGATTCATCGAGTCATTGGTTCACTGAACCGTTGAATCATTGATTCGTTGATTCCTTCATTCAGTGACTCACTGATTCATTGGTTCCCTGATTCATTGATTCTTTGGCTCACTGACTCTATCAGCCATTGGTTCATTGATTCGTTGGCTCACTGGTTCACTGGTTCATTGACTCACTGATTCATTGATTCATCGGTTCATTGGCTCACTGCGTCGTTCAACCATCGATTCCTTGATTCATTGTTAATTCATGCATGATTCATTGGTAGAGTGCTTCACTGCTTCATTGATTCATGCAGTGAGCTGCGCGTGGATTCTTTCATGTCATTTCATTGTCATCTCAAGAGTCATTGGCTCACACGTTGATGCACCTCACAACTTCAACACTTCATTTCTTAGAACTTCTACATCTCAAAAACATTCCTATAGGCCATTGATTTCTTATACCTACTTTTATTTGTTCGAAACTTCCGCCCCAGCACGGGCCGGGCACTATCTGGTAACCAAACCAAAACAGTTTTTGCTAAGAAAATGATGAACTATAGTTATTGACGTGTATGGACATAGGGAACCATAATCCACTGCATCGGGATTTTAGATTACAATGGTTGGCTGTCACCGAGTGACCAACCAAAATGACAACTCATAACCCACAACATGGGTACGATAACAATCGTGAAGAGCAAATAGCTGGATCAAGTCCCAACTAATTACTATTTGTCATTAATTATCTTGTTTGGAAATAGGAAACACATCCAAGTGGCTATTGGACACCTCACCCCACCAAACAGTGATCACGGTGAATCATCTTTGGGCATCAAAATGGTTCAATGCTTCTGGATGTTCACAATCAACATCCATCAACATCAATCAACAGTGATTCGGGGAGAATTATATTTTTGCGGGGGGTCGAAACTGTTGGCTCCCAAAATTCATAGCGAAAATATGCGAATATAGCGAATTCCCATGAAACCCGAAAAATGATCCATGCTGGTCCATGCTCATCAACTTTGCAACTCCCATGCAGAAAATCTGATACATCCCCCCAATAAGCCCAACTCAGTGAACCTTGCCCATCTGGTAGTAGCTTTGAAGAACCTCCTCGTCCTCTACGCTATATGCTCCAGCCAACACACATTTTCTGCGATGGAAATCCATGGTTGTTTTCCGGTTCGGAAATGATCTACTCAGAATCTACTCTCATAGTGGACTTTTGTATGTTGGTTTACTAGAGGGTAAGCCAGCATAACAATCGTCCATGGCATTCTCCACTTGGTGAACTGAACATTTAAGGGAATGGGCTAGCACCTCCAACCTCACAAACTTAGAATCACAGGTTGGGGGGTAAATCAGCAAAGATTTGGATTTCGTGGCCAAACATGGAGATTCTAATCCCAAGAACATGGCTAATCTTAGATACCCTGAAGAAATACTTCTTTAATCTTCTTTAGCTGGCTTGGTTTGTAAAGTATGTATAAATATATATATATATATTTGAATGCATTATTCTATTATCATTTCATAACTTCAAACTCCGTCATTTTTTATACGTAGCTCAAGATTAAAATATTACATGTTAAAGTACCCAAGGTTGACCCAGGAAACAAGTTCAAAGAACATCAAAAAACAGCTCTCCTCTGCCTTTTCTTTCTTTTTCTGCTGCGACTTCAGGCTATCCTCACCGGGGCGATGCGATGGGGTTAGATTCAGAAATCCTGCCGGTGCCAGCCTGTTTGACGAAACTCCCTTGCATATCTTGCATAACATGGCTTCCCAATTTTCAGGAGAAAAAAACTCGCATGTTTCGTCATATTCGGGTCTGTTTGAAAGCATGGCACCTCCATTCCGCCAACAGATTATCCCAATGAATGATGTCTATCTCTAAGAAATGGCAATCTAAGAACAAAAATAGAAGCTTTACGTTTCAAGACGGTTCAAGATCCAATCTTACGATCCAAAGTTCTAAGTTTCAACAATCCAAGATCCAAGTATACAGACAATGATTTCAGTGGACTAGATGATGATACTAGATGTCTATAGTGTGGGAAACCTAATAGATAAACATCTACCATTGGTTTTTGTAGGTTTACACTGTTTATACCACCATATACCTCCCATTATCGCTAGGATCCCCCCCATCCAGGCCCCCACCTCTCGTAGCACCGGCAGCTGCGCCTCTCTCGCGGGGCTGGGGGTGGCCGTGGCGGTCACTTCACTTTGCAGCTTTCGAAGCTCCCGGAGGATGGAATCGTCGAAGAAAAGCCTAGCTCGACGAACTCGAAGTCCAGGTTCCACTGGAAAAAACAAACCATGGATCTGCCATGATTCTAGGGGTTAGATATGGTTAGATACCCACTTGTTGATGTTATTATGATGTTATTACATTGGGATCATTGGGTATAACCATGCTTGATCCAATTGAATTGCGCTCAAGTTCGAGGTCGAGGAAAAAGGCTCCCGAGAACCGTCTCCGCGTCACAAAACAGATGAAGGAAACTTAGGCTCCATCAATCATGCCAAAAAAGATGTAGAAAGAATGAAACATAGAAATTTGCAAAGACAACGGATAAACCTTGAAGATTTTCCGGACTACGTCAACCAATTCGGCAAGAAGTCGGAAAATTGCCGAAAAAAAGCCTCAAGTTGAGAATGCTTTTGGAAATATTCCATTGATGATTTCAGGGATCTTCCCAAAACAAGCCATTGTTCATGGGACAATTCTCTTGGGACCAAATATTTCTCAGATATGAATGATTGTGGATGTAACTAGCCTGAAACCCCGGCAAAAAATAAAAAATATCACCTGACGATAAATGGCAGATCTAGCCGAGCCACTCTAGCGGCTGCATGGCTACATCCAGAGCCACCACGTTCCGGGTTTCTTCAAGTCCTCAGCGGGTCGTTCACGCCATGCTCTGGACCTTGATGGGATTCTTTCCCACTAGGTTATATAGGTAGTGCAGATAGCTACCTCCATAGCTTTGAGGACACTTCCATAAGACCACTACCAGGGATTACCTGGGACCACGGAATAAGCTGTTTTTATGCACCCAAGGATCGGTTGTCCACGGTCACCTTGAACGCCGGCTTGTCTTTGGCTGTGCCAAAGCGCAACATGTCAGCAGCATGGTGGGTGATGCCTCAAGGAGGCTGAGACTTGCAATCTTCCCATCAGATCCCATCAGATCGTCGTGTTCTCCGGAGTGCCAGGGTTTTAGCATGACAGGAGTGAGTGACTTCATAGCTTGTGATGCCTTGTATGTACGTATGTGTATATATAATTAAATAATATTATATATATAAAAATATTATATATAGGTAGTTTTCGGCAAAACAAGGACCTACCCTGATAGCGCGGGAGCAGTCATAGCGCAGGAGCAGTCAAATTGATACAATAAAAATTGTACCTGTACCTATGAGACCAATAAGTACTACAGGACTCCAAGGCGACATCGCATGACAGCTGCGACGGGGTACTGAAGGACTGCAAGACAAAATCGATTTTGAAGTCAGCACTCTGCTCTCCGCGATAGTCAACCTGGTGTCAGCCAAAGGCACTGTCAAATTGGGGAAAACAACATGTCAAGATCAAGTGGCTGCAGGATTAGTGGCTAAGCTTGTGGCTCCCTGGGTCACCCCTGCGACCAATCCCACTGACTTCAGGGTGGTGAGCAAAATGGCATCCTCGGATGGGTGACCAGTTTGAGAGATGTGACTGGTGTATAATTTGTGGTTGAAATATGTTGGGTGTCGGGAGGCATTGGGTCAAACTGGTTACCATCCAATTCATGTCCCGGAAATGACGTCATCAATCTTTCAAGTCCCAAGAACAACCCACCAGAATCCCCAGAAAAACCATGAGTTTTAAATGCCCACATATGCCCACTACTAACCTTATACTAACCACACTTGACACAAAAGAAACACGCGCGAAAAACGTCCACCGCGTCCGCGCCAAAGTTTCCCCGTCATCACCATCCAACCGCAGCTGCAAGGTGCCAATCTGCAATTCCATGCTTAGATTATTGGGCACCACGACATCTTTCAAGCCCTGCCATTCGACACACACGGACAGTGTCATTGGGCAACACGGCCTATGCTTATGTGCACATATTCACCACATCTCTCTCTATCTGTATGATATTATGTGTGTATGTATGTGTATATATATATATATACACGTCCGTATATATGTAACGTAATGTACTGTAGTGTAATGTAATGTAAATGTAATGTAAATGTAATGTAATGTAATGTAACGTAACGTAACGTAATGTAGTGTAGTGTAATGTAATGTAATGTATGTATTATATCTATATGGAAATTCACATGTGTGCTTACATGTGCATTAAGCATCATTAAACATGGGATTCCTGACGACATGACGCCCCATCATTAGAGACAGTCATCTGATCTCCCGCGGTCACCTCCGCTTCATTGTGGAGTTCCTTCATAATTTTGTGCGGATCCCCCTGGCCGCTGTCCTCCGGGCAGCGGTGAAAAGGTGGACACTTAGTGGAATTGATGTACCATTATGTACCATTATACAGTTTTATAACCTGTTATATAAGTAATATACCTATCTATCATATTTAATCTAATCTATTCTGTTCTGTTCGATTCTTACCTTATACATTATCTTACCTTGTCTTATCTATCAACCTATATCTACTTTCGTATCTACATACATATGTAATATATATAATTATATATATATATGTGTGTGTGTATTTTGATATGTACATACCACTTATGTATGTGCAAAAACAAACAACATTCAAATACACATATATATATACATGTATATATATATTATACATATATATACATATATCATAACTACAAATACACACATTGTTCTGCTTAACAAACACGATGTTAAAACATGTCAGCTATGTCAGCTATGTCAGCTCCCCAGTCAATCTCCACCCTCATCACATCTCCGTCCTCGGCCCAGCAGCTGAAGCTTTGTAGCATCTTAGTGGGCCACGACCGGTGTTTTTTTGAATCTCTCCTTCGAGCCTCCTGCAGATCTTGCATCACCTGGGAGATGGCCATGGGGATGGGATGGGTTGCGTTTTTTTAGAAAATTGGGTTGGACGTCCATAAAGCTTCGAAGCGCGTTCTTTTCTCACAATTTGGGAGATCAACATATATAGATCAACTAGATACCAAAACAGTTTGGTTGATGCCAGGGAGCCACCAAACCCTTGGGGTCCTCGCCATGACAGGTAGAAACCGGGCACTCTTCCAAAACACCCGTAATCTTCGATAATTCCCCACATCTTTGTGTGGGGTTCTTGTTTTTGGAGTTTTTGGTTGTGCACTCCCGCCTCTCCGCCCGCCTCTCCGCCCGCCGCCTGCTCACACACAACTTGACCACACAACTTGTCACCACACAACTTGTCACCACACAACTTGCTCACACACAACTTGTCCACACAAAACTTGTCACCACACAACTCGTCACCACACAACTTGTCACCACACAATTTGCTCACACAACTTGTCACCATACAACTTACCCACACACACACAACTTACTCACCACACATCTTGTCCACGGACACCTTGTCCACACACAACTTATTCACACACAACTTGTCACCACACAATTTGTCACCACACAACTTGCTCACACACAACTTACTCACACACAACTTGTCACCACACAACTTGATCGACTGTCACTTTGCGTGGCAGGCGTGGCACTTGGTGACATCGATCGTAACTTTGCGTGGCAGCCGTGGCACTTATGGCACTGGGCTGGCTCTGGTGGCGCGCTTGGTTCCCAGTTGACGCCGTGGACGCCGCGGCTCTTTGCGTGGCAGGCGTGGCACTTGGCGACATGGACCTTCACTTTGCAAGGCAGGCGTGGTACTTATGGCACTGGGCTGGCTCTGGTGGCGCGCTTAGTTCCCAGTGGACGCCGTGGACACCGCGGCTCTTTGCGTAGCAGGCGTGGCACTTGGCGACATCGACCATCACTTTGCGTGGCAGGCGTGGCACTTGGCAACATGGACGTGCATTCTGCGGGGCAGGCGTGGCACTTATGGCACTGGGCTGGCTCTGGTGGCGTGCTTGGTTCCCAGTTGACGCCGTTGACGCCGCGGCTCTTCACGTGGCAGGCGTGGCACTTGGCGACATGAACGTGCATTCTGCGTGGCAAGCGTGGCACTTGTATATGGCACTGGGCTGGCTCTGGTGGTGCGCTTGGTTCCCAGTTGACACCGTGGACGCCGCGGCTCTTTGCGTGGCAGGCGTGACACTTGGCGACATCGACCATCACTTTGCGTGGCACCTGTGGCACTTGGTGCCATCGACCGTCACTTTGCGTGGCAGGCGTGGCACTTGGTGACATGGACGTGCACTCTGCGTGGCAGGCGTGGCACTTATGGCACTGCACTGGCTCTGGTGGCGCACTTGGTTCCCAGTTGACGCCGTTATCGCCGCGGCTCTTCGCGTGGCAGGCGTGACACTTGGCGACATCGACCGTCACTTTGCGTGGCAGGCATCGCACTTGGCGACATCGACCTTCACTTTGCCTAGCAGGCGTGGCACTTGATGACATCGATCGTCACTTTGCATGGCAGGCGTGGCACTTGGCGACATGGACCTTCACTTTGCAAGGCAGGCGTGGCACTTATGGCACTGGTCTGGCTCTGGTGGCGCGCTTGGTTCCCAGTTGACGCCGTGGACATCGACCGTCACTTTGCGTGGCAGGCGTGGCGCTTGGCGACATCGACCTTCACTTTGCATGGCACCTGTGGCACTTGGTGACATCGACCGTCACTTTGCGTGGCAGGCGTGGCACTTGGTGACATGGACGTGCATTCTGCGTGGCAGGCGTGTCACTTATGGCACTGCACTGGCTCTGGTGGCGCACTTGGTTCCCAGTTGACGCCGTTGTCGCCGCGGCTCTTCGCGTGGCAGGCGTGACACTTGGCGACATCGACCTTCACTTTGCGTGGCAGGCGTGGCACTTGGTGACATCGACCTTCACTTTGCGTGGCAATCGTGGCACTTTGTCACACCATCTTTCACACACCATCTTTGACACACCCCCTTTCACACACCATCTTTCACACACCGCTTTGTCACACACCATCTGTCACACACCATCTTTGACACACCCACTTCCACACACCATCTTTCACACACCATCTTTCACACACCATCTTTCACACACCATCTTTCACACACCACTTTGTCACACACCATCTATCACACACCCTCTTTCACACACCATTTTTCACACACCACTTTGTCACTCACCATCTTTCACACACCACACCCTCTTTCACACACCATCTCTCACTCACCACTTTGTCACACACCATCTATCACACACGTTTTTTCACACACAACTTTGTCACACACCACTTTGTCACCCACCATCTTTGACACACCATCTTTCACACACAACTTTGTCACACACCACTTTGTCACCCACCATCTTTGACACACCATCTTTCACACCACTTTGTCACACACACACACACACCATCTTTCACCCACCATCTTTGACACACCATCTTTCACACCACTTTGTCACACACACACACCATCTTTCACACACCACTTTGTCACACACCATCTTTCACACACCATCTTTGACACACAACTTTGTCACACACCATCTTTGACACACCATCTTTTACACACCACTTTGTCACCCACCACGTTTGACCCTTTGACAGACCAACTTTCACACCACTTTGTCACACACCATCATTCACACACCCCTTTGTCACACACCATCATTCACACACCATCTTTGACACACCCTCTTTCACACACCATCTTTCACACCATCTTTGACACACCATCTTTCACACACCGTCACAGACCATCTTTCGCACACCATCTTTGACACACCACTTTATCACACACCATCTTTGACACACCATCTTTCACACACAACTTTGTCACACACCATCTTTCACCTCACCATCTTTCACACACAACTTTGTCACACACCATCTTTCACCACACCATCTTTCATACACAACTTTGTCACATACCGTATTTTTCCCACACCATCTTTCACACACTACTTTGTCACTCACCATCTTTCACACACAACCCTGTCACACACTCTCTTTCACACTTTACTTTCACACACACACACACACCATCTTTGGCACACAACTTTGTCACACACACACAACATCTTTCTTTGCTACACACCATCTTTCACATACAACTTTTTCACACACATTTTGTTTTACTTCTCGATCCTCCACCACCTCCTTTGTCTTTCCTTCCTTCCCCGTCCCGCTACAACATTTGTTGCTCATTATTATTGGAAGAAGTTGACTTGTGGGGTTGTCCGGTCCTTTAATTTTTGGTCATATTCGATAGTCTTTGATCAGACATGATCATCTTTGATTATCTTTGAGTCTTGGACAATCTTTGATCCATGGATCCATGGCCCCCGGAATATATCTCTGTATCCTTGGCCCTTTCATCCCAGGCACTGGCATGAACCATTCAGCTTGCATTTTCAGAGGCACCACATCGCGCAAGACTTTCAAGCGGAACTCTTCAGACATCTCGGGAGAGACGCAACCCAGCACGTCTCACACGTGCAAGGCGCGTGTGGCAAAGTGTCGCCAGTGGGATACCACTGGGATGAAGCATAGTTCAACCAACATGGCCATGTAAAATCGCCAGGGGGAAGCTGAAACAGGGAGCTATTCCAATGTTGGGTTACCAGGGTATCTCCATGGCTCTTCGCTCCGGTGATGACCCAAGCCCAATAGCTGGGAAGATCCCAAGAACACGACAGGACATCGTAAGGATCATAACTTCTGGACGGGCTGAGCGCGTAAGTGGGAAGAGTCCCAGACTTGGGAAATCTTGTAAAATCTTCTCCAGGAATTGGGAATATTGGATATCACTTTTTTAGCTGGTTGGTTTTAACCCATCAAAAAGATATTGACAATTGTTGCTGGATGGTCATTCCACATTTGTTTCTACTAATGCCATCAACCAACAACCACTAGATAATCATCACGGGATAATTATACCCTATAAACTATAAAGAAAGCCTAATTACAACAGCATTCATGGGGAAAACATCGGAAAATGATGATTGGAGCAAGGATTTTGGGGACTTTTCAGTTCTTTTCTGGCTCCTGCTGAAACCAAAAAAAATCGCACCTGATCCCAGAAATTGCCAAAGGCGCGGTCAATTCCGGCAAACGCCTGCCGGGCACCGCCCCCTCGAGCTCATCGCGGTAGTATCTGCTGCACAAGCTGACGTACCTCGGCTCGGAGGCGCTGTAGACATGTGTCTCTAGACTGATCTCTTGCGCAGGCTTACCAATTTGTATCTACTTGTATCTACTTGTTATTTACTGCACACACTGTGATCCCCAAAAACAGGGGAGAGAGAGTGTGTGTGTGTGTACGTACAGATATGGCATGACTGACTGTTCGTTCCCCCAAATATATATCAAAAGATGCAAGACACCTTCCAAAATTTTCCTTTGGAAGAGTGACCGGCAGAAAGCTGCTGTGCATGAAATCCTTCGTGCCGGGACCATCCAGGACCCCCTTAATTATTGCAAAATATTGCGACATATTGTATGATATATTGTGTATTATTATTATTATTATCATTGTTACTATCATTAATTTTTATTGTATCATATTGCAATCGTATGAACATCTAATGATCTAATAGTTCCTGTGGGGCCTCTAGACTCTAGCAATCACACAGGGGTTTCCTAAAATGGGGTCACCCCAAAATCATCCATCTTAATCGGATTTTCCAGTATAAAGCATCCATTTTGGGTGCCCCCATTTTAGGAACCCCCCACACCAATCCACTTTCACCCAAAAAAGACCTGCCACGGAAGGTGCTCATCATCAGCCTTTTTGATGCCTTTTTTGGTGGTCAGATTCACCATCTGTTCCGCCCCTGGAGGAACCAGAAGTGCCTCGCAGAGATGGAGAGGAGCAAATGTGGAGCAATAGTACAGCTAGTCTTGGCTGTATCATCATGACATCTCAGGATTGATGGCCATATGTGGCCACACACTCAAACTGTCCTTCATGAAACAAGAATTGGACAGCAATTGTGTGCTCCAGCAAGTCCATTTCGGAATGGGGGCCACATGAAAATCTTTAGAAAACACGGAGAAGAAAGCATCAAATGCTGAGTGGCTTGTAGTCTGTTGCTTTCTTCCCCCAGGGCGTTGGAAATCTTGATCAAGGCAGTGATCTGGTCTGGTGACAATTTCCTGGGTGCTGCCGTTGCCACTTTTCAAAAAGTCATGGCCCACCAATTCACAAACCATCCGAAAAAACACCCAAAAAATGCAAAAAAATGCAACTAAAATTCGTGGAAATGACGGGTAGTTCCGATGTACATATGACATATGACTTTGATATAAATGGTGCACAAAGAATGAGCCAGCCAGGGGGGCTTGTAGTACCAAGCATGGCTATCCACAACCACCAACTGGAATGTCTCCAAAAGAGTTACCCTCTGGTAATTTAACATAGCCATGGAAAATCACCATTTTTAACAGGTAAACCATCTATAAATGGGCCATCTATACCATGGCTATGTTAAATTACCAGAGGGTATATACAGTTATATAAAAGGTTCCAAGTCACCAAGCTCCAACTCATTTTCCAAGCACACTGTGGAATACTGTGGATCTATGGGAAGAGTTGAAATTCAACATGACCCAAGTGGTGCATGACCCAACTGGCGCATTCCAGCCATCACGCCGAGTCTCACTGAATCGCTGTTTTCTTTCAAACCAAAATCAATTTCCACTGCCATATTCCCATGGCCCTGCAGTAGAATCACTTGCAAGAAGTGGAGGGTCAGGATATCTTGCGAGACTTGGTAGCCGCCTTTGATGCAGAAGTTCTTAAAACCAATGGCCTGGCATGGCTGGCTGTCAAAACCCCAACCTGATGGACATCATGCGCACTGGATGTTCATCCTTGTGACTGGTGACACACTGGAGAAACCCAGAAAAAAAGGTGCATCTCGCCTTCGCAATGTGCGCTTCCTCCTCCAATCACGAAAAAAACAACACCCCCCTTTGTTCTCCCCGGGGGTAGATGGTCAAACGGTTGATGCGCTATTGTTGGATATCGTTGGTGGTTGACATTGGTTGACTTTTTAAGCCCCCAACAAACAGTTATTCTTGGGATTCACCGAACTGGGTGCGCTGGTTGAATCCCCATGAAGCAGCTACAATGTAGTGCCCACAGTCATGCTTGTTGGTTTGGACTCCATTAACTACAGATGTATCACGATCATTTCTCAATGGGCTTCCCCATGAATTTTCCATACCTCGGGTGCCCCGCCTGAAAGGAAGAGGTGCTTCGGGCCACTTCCACTTCTGTCTGCGTTGTGGTTGCCTTCTCTCGCTCCTGGCAGTTTGATGCAGAACCTCTCAGATGTTTTGGAAAAATCCTGAAAAATCCTGGCCGTTGACTTTCCTAATGATCTCATATGATCTAATCCCTTCCTATTACTCAAACTCCCCCAAGTAAAAAAAAATAGGATTGGTGTGGCACTTCCGTTTTTTTTGGTTGGGCACAATTGGATTGTTAATTGTTGTAATTGAGAATCAATAGGAGAACCAAATGATGAAACCCCCTATTAATAAAAAAAAGATTACCTGGCACCTGGATGTTTTTTATTAGGGTCCCATCGCCCAAGTTTTACTGTATTATTTTATTTCTAAGGTTTTCATTGGAATGTTAGGGGAAAGCTTCGAAATCCAGTTTTTGGCAATATGTTATATAGATTTTAAAAAAGGATTCAACCCAATTTCAAATCGAGTTTTTTAATTTTCATTATCAATGGAATATTAGGGGCGCCCTAATACAAAATACACCCAATAAAAATAGACCACCGTGTTTACCATTTGGGGGGCGGGGGGGCGTTTTAGCAATAGGGAGAGAGGATTATTTTATCATGTTGACTTATTTTCGGGGGGTACTGTCACAGTACGAGAAATATCTACGTGGACTCAACCTGATCCATGTTCCTCATTCCAAGAAATTTGGAGAGGCTGCTTGGAATCAGCATTTCTTTCATTCCAAAGCTGCGTGACGTCCTCAACATCAGTGTTGCAGCATGCGCTATTCATTAAACATATCTTGGAAATATGAATCATGGTCCACCAACAGCCCGAACAGCCGGAACATGTGGCTAAACCTGAATTTCCCTCCCATTTTTCCAATATTTATAATATTTCCATAGATTTCCGATACTCCCAAAATTGTTTCACAAGCTGTTCCCAGGGGCACCTCCTCCGTAGGAGCCCGTCCATAGAGCTCCCCCAGTTCCGCCGCCACATGCGCGCCGCTCTCCGGATCCGACAAGCGGCACTGGAGGTTGCCTCACGGCACGGTGAATCCAAAGGAACCCTCCAAAGTTTGCCTGGGAACTCCCAGATTTTTTCAGACAAGAAACAAGGGAAAATTTCTTTGTGTCAGCAATTTAGGGAAGTGCCCAGATTGATCTAATATCCGCTGAGCTGCTGATCTGAATCTTCACATTGGAGATGAAATGCCGGGCGACCTTTGCCACCATGCCAGCATCTAAATCTCGGCCTCCGGTGACCAAGGGCCCCAAACTCATTCTGGTGGGGATTTGAGGTGTTTCTGAAAGGTCGATGGTATCTGATTCTATCTTGCTCTCATTGAATGTACCTTCAAATCTCCTCTGGATTGATGATTGAGAAGATTTTAACTCTCTCTTTGTTGGCCACCAAAAATTATTTTGCTTGCAAAAAAAACATGAAAAGCAGCAACTCGGCCCCCAGCTGCCCCCAGCTTACCCGGAGCCTTCTTGCTTGGCGGCTTCCACCAACCGCTGGTGTTTCCGAACCTCGATCTGCTGCGCGGCCTGGCGCAGGCGGAATGTTTTTCACAAGGAGATGAAGTACAAAAAAAAGAGGAACAAATTATGGATGTAAACGGGATGTAAATTGGGAGATTGGAATCTGGGATTGCAATGGATTGTATCTGAAACTTTGAGAAATCGGGATGTAAATATTAGGCATTTTGTAAACAAGAATCCATATATAAAAAGAACTGGAACTCCAACTAGTAAAGGAAATTGGGGTTGTATTGTATTGGATGGTATGAAACCCAACTAACTGTAACCATTATCAGCCAAATTTTACAATTAGCCATCATATCACTGGGCAACAACAGAAAGCAGCAAACACTGGTGGACAAGACCAAAAAAGCTAGGGAGTGAATCCGGAGTAAAAAGGGAAAAACAAGGGGTTCGAACAATTATATAGACTAGTAATCCATAAGAAGTCCCTTCCCCTCAGCCCACAGCATTTACCTCATCACTCTCTCTCCATAGAATTTACACCATCTCTTTGGAGAAATGTCATGAGATGTGGCTGTTGGATCCCCTCCACTATCTCCACTTCATCATTTAGTAATTCAAATCTTAAAATACTATGTGTATATATATATATATGTGTGTGTATTACGGATGACTTTGCTTAAAGGACTTCCTAACCGGTGGATTATGGTGGATTACAATCATTTAAGTGGGATTGTCATCCAAGCAATGCTGGATCCATTTATTGTCGATCCTCGAGCAGCCGCATAAACCTAGACCCCGCAGCAAGGAGACTTGTCTAACCAGATCTAAACAGTGGGGGTGTTTTCCCCCATTGAAATAGCCCTGAACAAAACTACCGTGGTGCAATGTATTGGATACATTCATGTACAAATGTAAGAGGTATTTAATACATATTAATACTATATTGGCTAAATTGGAAGTCCGTTTCAGGACGCTTAAACCATGTTCAGCCCCAGCTTTATGGTATTCCCCCGTGTTCACATTAGGATCAATCATTTCTCAAGTGGGATCATCGTTCATAAGCCTACTTAGTAAATGATGAATCCAAGTGATTCCTACTTTAAAATTATAATTACTGTACATCATCATCATCATCACCATCATCATCATCACCACCACCACCACCATTATATTCATTATATCCTATGGTATTGCCCGTTTGAAATTCTTGATGACTAATTGGATCGTCATTCAAAATATAATGAACATATATAATGGACATATTTCAGTTTACAATTTATTTATCTTATCAGAAGTTCACCAATTATAATTATTACCCATTATATTTATATATATATACATATACATATACATATATATATATATGTATATATATAATTATATATATATCATGTCTATCTTTGGATGTGCAAAAGGGGGAGGGGATGATTCATGTCAACCTTGGATCAATCAACCCTGGTTAATGAGGGCCTCCCCGAATAGTGATGTCATCTGCTACGAAAATGGTATCCCCCAATTACAACCGCCCAGGGGTGAACTTTCATCCAGGGTTAACATTTACCAGGCAGGTGAACAGAGCGGTATAGTAGCCCACCGCCCCCTACCCCACCCCAGCCCATGACCAGCGACGTACTGCGAAAGGCTTACCAAATTACTAGGCGCCTCGTGCGCCCGTGGGCAACCACCACCATCCGTTAACTTTGCATAGCCGCATAGCTGACTGGAAAATCCACAGTTCAATCATACGTAAAACAGTGACATATTCATCTATCAATGGGTCGTGCCTGCGCAATTCATGGTATTCATTGGTATTCCCATGCCAATTTCCCAGACTGGTTGCTTTAATGAGTTACCCTCTGGTAATTTAACATAGCTATGGAAAATCACCATTTTTAATGGGAAAATCCACTATAAATGGCCATTTTCAATAGCTATGTTAGTTTACCAGAGGGTATATCTCCTGTTTCGATCCATTTTTGCATCTGCTGCTGACCCCGCCTGATGCTCCACCGAGGCGATCCGCGTCTGCCGCAGCTCCTCCAAACGTTGCTCGCCACTCTTGCCATCCGACAGGGCGTTGATCACCGCGTCCACCTGGCGAAGGTGGCCGGAGGCCGGTGACAGACACTATGGGCGTTTCCATAAATGGATCCCCAAAATGGATCAAAATGCTTGGTTTAGAATGGAAAATCCCAAAATCAAATGGATGATGTGAGGGTACCCCCATTTCAGAGAACCTCCATATAGAGGCCCCCATATTTTAAGGGCGGAAAGGTACATTCGGGATGGAAATCCAAGAAATTTTGGAGAAACTTTTCCTTATTCTTGGCTGTTTTGAAGACTTATGGCATAGGAGTTTGCAGGAAATTCTGAGGTCCCAGGTGTTTCAAGAGGGGCAACAGACCGCTTGACCGCTTGACCATGGCCCCATGGCCTCGAGCTTTTCCAGGGTCACAGTGATGCCACCTGAGAGCCTCGGGCACCGTCCAAAAATCATGTCGAAGACCTTCCATTGGCTATAGCGTCCATGGCCACCAACCACCAGCTCACTCTCATGTGCATGCTAGCACATAATTTCAAACTTATTATCTTCCCATATAATGGTGAATGGTGCTAAATTTCTTTGTGACTACCTCCAAGGACAGATTCGCCTGGTTTAAATTCTTAGCTGGCTATAGCCCAGCGGAATTTAGATGGTCCCAACCGGGGATGATCATGTTGGATTGTTTAAGTTTTCAGCAGAGGAGCAATTTTTGTAAACTTTGTTCTGTTGCCAAAAATCATGACAAGAATTGCGGCCAGGGTTGCAGCGCAAAGAAGGGGACTTCAATCTCCAGCACTTTCAGTTCTCCAACCTCCGCGCCGAAAAAAGACACTGCAACTGCAACCTGACGTTCTCATATATATATATATATGTATATGTTGTTCAATGTTGTTCATCTTCCCCATCTTCCCCTGCCTGTAGCTGAAGCTCATCGAAACCCAGCAATGCACAGAGACTGCTTTTCAGCTTCAAATTCTTGGCGCTCATCTTTCCAAGGCGAAAACGTAGGTTCGACTCGGCGGGGGCAACTGACAATATCGACATCACTTGATCCATCTGGTGGTTTCAATATGTTTCAATGCATCTTGAAACATATTAGTCATTGGGGATCACTATCCCAAACATGTTTGAAAACATTTGATGGTAAGAATATTTGAAACATTTTGAAACCACGGTGACCTTTTTAGATGGGCAAAGCATGGATCCAAAGAACAACCATCCAAAGCGTTGGTTTCCACGGCTCCCAAACATATCTGTCACTTGGATATCGCCCGCCCAAGTATGCTTGAAAATAAAGACTCTTTTGAATCATGACTGTATCTATCTTATCTAATCTATCTAATCTAATCTAATCTAATCTAATCTATCTATCTGCCTATCTGCCTATCTGTTTGAAACATGGACGGGGTTATTTAAACAAACTAGACCATGTGCCAAGGTACGGCCGACATATTGTCCAGGTATGGGGCCAAATACTTCTCCAGCAAACTGTTTACAATAGACTCGAACATGGCGTCGCTTGGTCGTTGCTGGAGCGATCCGAGGCGCTGTTCGAACGAAGCCTGGCCTTGAGCCCCGGCGGCTGACGGTGGATGGCTTGGATTTCACCGTTTTTTGGGAGATGGCTTTGCTGGGGATATCATCTAACATGGGGATTTAGTATGTATATATATATATATATTAATATATATACACACTATAGATGGCTTGGTACTTTTCGGATCTTTTCGGATCTTTTCGGATCGTTTCGGATCTCAGGAGCCCGCTGCGGCATTTTGTTCTCCTTTCCTGGCGCAGAGTTTCAACAAGCCTTTGGCTCTGCTGGCATCACCTCAAGCGCATCCCAGGAAACTTGGGCCTAGTAACGTTGAATTTTGGGAGCTGTGCCGGCCCCGGGCCAAACAACTTGCTCGTGTTTCTACGGAAGTCGCTGGGATGTCACTGGGACAACACCAAAACATACCAAAACCAGGCATAGCTCCGACCCGTTGTGAAAAGCTCACAGGGATGGTTCCCATGCCCTGTATGGATCAGTGGATCCCAAAAAACGCCTGGGATGCAGCTGGAGCTGGGTTTGTCTGGAAATGGGGCTCCAAGATTCCTATCTTAATGAGAGAATTAAATAATTATGTGTCAAACCAGTGGGTGGAATGTGTCTATTTTCAGATCAAACCTGCTGGAGAAAATGATTGTTTCAACTCATGTTACTCATGTTCCACCAAAACAGCTTGAATTTGCCAGCAGACCTTGTCAAACATCTGATGTGAACCATCGCGACCGGCAGTACCCACAAAAAGGTTCAACTTTGTCAATTTCATGGCGATCCTGGTCCAATTGGCCATCCTGTTAACCTAGCATAAGTAATGGTTGATTGATTCACCATCATTTCCAAATCATCGATGATTTTGGGTGTCATTCATCACCTCTTTTTGGGTAGGTGAACCACACTTTAGTATCCTGAAATATGTCCAGCAGGTAGAGCCGTCCCCCACAAACCTGGCAATTCTAAAGTGAAAATTCATCATCTAAGAGTAAGAACTTTAGTTGTTGATTTAGGACTATATAAATGATCATCAATCCCCCCCATATCAATGGTAATCCTAAATTATATATACCATCTGGTTATTTAACATAGCCATGGAAAATCACCATTTTTAATAGGTAAACCATGGTAAACCTCTATAAATGGGCCATTTCCCATGGCTATGTTAAATAACCAGAGGGTATATATAGATATATATCAATGGTTATCCAAATGATCATCTCTATATAAATGATCAACGATCAGCAGACAGTCATCCTCCAGGAGCCGGACCGGCCTCCTGATGACGAGGCCGGTAACGTCGTTCCGGTCCAACTTAGCGCCGCCTTAGGGGTCACCTGGGTGGTAAAGACTGGGAATTCACCGACAGAAACTTGGGAAGTTGACATGCAAAAAATGGGGATTTAACATGAATTGAAGTGTAAACTAACCTTCAAAAATGGGATTGAACCCAAAATAGAAATCACCTTAAACAACAAACACTATGAAAACACCCTTGTAGTTTGGCCCTTACAAGGGCCTTTGACAATGCGTTTTTTTTGGTGCCAAAATGGCAGACACCTTCAACAGGTGCTCGGGATTTAGCCAATATGGGGACTTGAAGTAACAAACCCTACATGATGTTGAAATAACCCCCAGTATACAAACAGATCCACCACTACCACTTGATTGGGGTTTCTGTGGCATCTAATTTCATGATCTGTGGGTCAAAATCCTGGCACCCTATCATCAAAATGGCTGGCGAATAGATGTTCATCCCCTAAATATGGCCTTTCCATAGGTTTTGATCCATCGCCATGTAACTATTGACTTGGTGAATGGATCACAATATAATAATATATATATTGGTATTGGATGGTATTGGCTGCTGTCACTTGCTTCAATATGTCAATATCAATTCAATGCCAACAGGATATGAATGAACTCAAAATTTGTCCACCTACGGGGACTCTAAGCAGGCAATGAACAGCCAATTCCCTGCTGCAGGATGGGGTCACGGGTCTGAAAACATCGGCCAAGAAAAAACCATCCAAGTGCAAATGTTTATCCACCATAATTCCTAGTTAGACTAGTTACAAACAAACATACCTATAAATCCATTAATCAGATTTAATCAGTATATATAATATATACAATTATATAATATTATATACACATAGATGTGTGAATGTATACTGATGCATGCAAATCATAACTCCCAATTTTTGGTGGGTGAAATGCCCAATGTGTTCCCGAGCCGGTGCCCTCCGCCATCTGCCGGTTCCGAGGCTGCGAACTCATGGCTTCGTAGCTTCTGACCGACCGCAGCCTCGCTTTGACAGCGGAAGAAATGGGTCCAATGGGGGGGTAAAACTCCCATTTGGGGCTACTATCAATGGGGATATGCATGGGGATATAAGCAACAATATGAGAACATATGGGAATATCATAGGATATAGTGGGATATAGTGGGATATAGTGGGATATAGTGGGATACATGGACAATTTGATATGATATGTGGGTTTGTCTAATGGGCTATGGCGGCTATGCCCATTTATGGGCACCGGGAAAATGATGACCCAGTTGGTCTCCCCCATCTCTCAGGTCTCGAGGATGTCCCCTGTCAACTGGGAAAGCTAAAAGCGAAGGCACCTAAACTAGACACCGGAAATATCCAGAAGTCATGATCTTTACCCTTGGGTCATCAAACATGTTTGGGAAAATCCACCATTAGTAAAATTGGATGATATTTTTATATATAATTAATAAATTGTTGATAAGTCTTGATGATTATTGATAATTATCGATGAATATTGATGATTATTGATGATTGTCGATGATTATTGATGATTATTGCTCAGTATTGATGAGTATGGATGATTATTGATGAGTATTGATGAGTATCGATGATTATTGATAATTATATCAATGCGAATATTGATGAATATTGTTGATAATTGATAATTATCGAAGGGTATTGATGATTATCGATGAATATTGATGATCATTGATAATTATCGATGGGTATTGATGATTGTCCATTAATAATGCTGATTATTGATGATCATTGATAATTATCGAAGGGTATTGATGATAATCGATGAATATTGATGATCATTGATAGTTATCGATGGGTATTGATGATTATCGATGAATATTGATGATTATTAATGATTGCCGATGATTATTGATGATTATTGATGAGTATTGATGAGTATCGATGATAATTGATGATTATTGATGGTCAGTGATAATTATCGATGGGTATTGATGACTATTGATGAATATTGATGATCATTCATAGTTATCGAAGGGTATGGATGATTCTCGATGAATATTGATGATCATTGATAATTATCGATGGGTATTGATGATTATCGATGAATATTGATGATTATTGATGATTGCCGATGATTATTGATGATTATTGATGATCATTGATGAGTATCGATGATTATTGATGAATATTGATGATAATTGATAATTATCGATGGGTATTGATGATTATCGATGAATATTGATGATGATTGATGACTATTGGTGATGTTTGATGAGTATTGATGATGATTGATAACTATTGGTGATGTTTGATGAGTATTGATGATGTTTGATGAGTATTGATGATGTTTGATAAGTATTGGCGCTTCTCGATGAATATTGATGAGTATTGATGATTGCCGATGACTATCGATGATTATTGATGAACACCGATGATCATTGATGCTCGATGATCCTTGATGATTATTGATGTGTCCTATTCTCCCATTTCTCCTTTTTCTCCATTTTGCGATCGACACATCCCCAGCGACTCTGAGATGGCGCCGGCCAAGGGGGAGAGGCCTCGGACCATCGAAAAAGTGGTGGTTATTTACCCAAGCCAAAGAAAAGAAATAAAGATAACATTGAAATCACCATCTTTAATAGGGAAATCAACTATAAATTGCCATTTTCAATAGTTATATTATGCTATATTAGTTTACCAGATGGTAGCATTGAAATGGATGTTAATGTTCGGAAAATGATGCAAATAGTGGTTTTGCGCTGTTATATGTTGAATTCATACACATAGAAGATCATAGAGCCACAGGGATCTGCAGGTAACAAAACCAAAAAAAAAACATACAACAACTCTATACACTCCGTTTTTTGAATTTTGACGGAAGTTCTTTCGAATTACATCATCCCATGATTACAACATATTACAACTACGTATACATGATCCATGATTCTTACTGTCCCTATGCAGCGTCAAGGAAAACGTATGACACACCTGGCACACAGGAAGATCCATGAAGAGTCCGCCAAGGCCTGCCATTTTGATCCATTTTTGCCTGTTCAGGTGGTGAATGGCCAAAATGGACACCCCAATTGGACTTTGCCAACTCTGAACCTTCACCACGGTGGTAGTTTCTGCTGTCCCAGCCCACTGGCCGCCCTTGCTGTACAAAGACCAAGGAAAGACCAGTCACCGGCTCCAGGAGCTGGAAAATGGATGGCACTGATGGCACCCACTTTTTCTTACACAACATCTGTGGTCCTTTTGCCCCGTTTTTTCTGGAAAAAATCCGCCAAGAGGCAGTGGAGAAGGGGCTTGTTTAGGGATGGCTATAGCCCAAAATTGCAACCTAAAACCTATTGGATGTAGGGGTTCCCTGTTCTTCGACAAACCCAGGAGACCGCACAGCTTTCCAGTTCCTGAACTGTCCCTGAAAGGGGGAATCAAGCTGACCTGGTCAGCTGGACTGCCGGTTCAATAAAAGGCCTCGGCAATGCGCGGAGTGGCCACAAACCAACATCTGACGCAGCTCCAAACGCCTCCAAGGTACCCATTGAAGTCACGGCTTCATTGCTAAAACCTCAAGTCGTTGTGCTGAAAAGGAGACTTTGGCCCCCAAAAAATGGCAATTCTGCTGGGATGCTGTTGGATGGGATAGCCTATTTTCAGCCTGGCAGCTGCACACTCGAACTTCGTCACTGCCGGCAACCACGCCTGGAAGAAATGATGCAATGCAACAGAAACAAGTGGATTGGTGCTTTCATCCCGAATCAAGCATGCACTGCACAAATGTGCTACAATCGGATAGAGAGAGAGAGAGAGTGGGAAAGAGACGACTGTGATCATGTTCCTCTGATTTGGAAACACACTTTGGAACGCACATGCACAAACAACCTTTCATACAGAGCAAAGAAGCCTCGCAATCTCTTGGTGCAAGCAACAGAACATAACAGAACCAAGGCCGGGGACTCATGATTCATTGCAGAGTTCTGCAGCTCAAACTCTTTCATTGAACGAGGAAAAAACCGGATCATTTGATCATGTTCGAAATCCTCTTCTTTAACAGGACAACCATTATTTTCGCAAAGACACCAACAAATCCGTGGAAAAATCCGCCCAGCTACGCTCGTCTGCGGCCAAATCAGGGCCAAAGAAGGTGCCGGCCTGGCCGTAGCCCCAAACTTTCAAACCTTTAAAGGAACCACACAACAAACATGGTGAGATCCAAAGAAAACATTGAAATTGTTGGAAAATATGAGGCAATATGCAAAAAAACGGGAAATCATGAAAAGTATTGCCAAAATATGGAGAGATCCCAATGATCCCAAGTATCAATTCAACAAGATGGACACGGAAAAAAATGATTCGATCGCATCGTGGAAGCATGATTCTAGCGAAAGCAACTGCAGCCAGCGGCACGAGGAACTTAAGCGTTCCCCAAAGATTGCTTGCTCTTCAACTGTGGCAGTCCCAATAAATTAAAAAAACTAACCATCCCTATCATCCCTAGTATAAACATAGATGGATAGTAAACATCGTACCCAAATGGTAGGTTTATGGCAGCCAGGGTTTACCAGAGACATCTGACTCTGCCACAAGGGCCTGCAAGGTCCTGATGGTGCGCCCGCCCCGCACCACGTTGCAATGCCCCTGCTCGAGGACGCGTAGCTTTTGGCAGCCCAGGGCCACCAAATCTCCTTGAACATAGGACCTGAGTTGGAGCTGTTGAGGATTTTAGTGATGTTCCAACTTGGGATACATCTTCTTGCGAGCATTCACTGAAATGAAGTACTGTTATGTGATGTTGTTCATTGGGGATCATATAAATTTATCAACCGTGGGATAGGAATTACTCAGATGATTTGGGGGACTTCCTGGTGAAACAAATGCAACAGGGGTCGGAAACTGGGAAAAAAGCATTGAGAAACCAGCCGGGCCCTCCGAGAGATCCTGACAAATGGAACGATGGTATGTGGGGGTGTATGCTGGCATATAACCCCCAAGAAATGGAATAGATGTGGATATACTCCACCCACCAAGGATTTACCAAGTTGAAGGACTAGCATTGTTTGGATTCATATGGATTCATTAAAGAGGCGGCAATGGACGAATCCACAAATTCACAAGGAGGGATTTCCCCCTGCCATCTCAAATTCCCAGAGGAACACGGACTTGTATCGATGATGATGATGATGGTGAGGAGGAGGAGGACGTTGACGATGACGCTGACCCTGATGCTGACGCTGATAATGACGCTGATAATGACGATGACGACGATGAGGAGGACGACGACGGCGGCGGCCGCGGTGGTGATGGTGATGGTGATGGTGATGGTGATGGTGATGGTGATGGTGATGACGATGACGATGACGATGGCGATGCCGATGCCGATGCCGATGCCGATGCCGATGCCGATGCCGATGCCGATGACGATGACGATGACGATGACGATGACGATGACGATGACGATGACGATGACGATGACGATGACGATGACGATGATGATGATGATGATGATGATGATATGACAAATTAACAGGATTTCCTGAGGGCGCTTGCAGCTGCAAGCAACATGTCTTACACTTCTATCATCTGTTCTCACTTATTTCAATTCTTTCGGGCATATTCGTTTCACATCTTTTCAAATTCCTTACCTTAAGTCCAGCCAAAAAAAAAAAACTACTGTATTTATATACATGAGTGCAAGAAAGTCAATCTTCCCACATGGAAAACCAGATCTTGCAGCCCCAGCCCCAAGTCCTGTGCCAAGGCGCTCCACCCCAACAGTGCCCAACAAGCCATCCAGATCCGGCAGCGTCACGGCATGCCCAACAGCTTGGGCCCCAGTGATGGCAAGGCTATCCACCGCCTCCTCCAACAGGCCTCGGACCCTCTTGCGGCCATCCTCCTGTTCAGTCACCACCTGCGGAGGCTACACCAAGGGGCTCCACCATGTTTTTCACCAATTTCATGAACGAGCACTGTTTACCACTTGGACCAAGGGATACCGAGGGACTATCGAAGTTGGTGGTTTGGGGATTATTACTATGCTTCCTGGAGGTTGCAGGTTCACCACCCAGAAACCCTGGTTTTGTATTGCACCTGTTCGTGACTTGGCCAATATGGGGGGAGTTGATATATTTGATATTAATTAAAAGGTTTGGGATTAGGACAAAGCATTCTCATCTGTTTACGCCCTTTGTTCCGGACCTACTTCGAGCGCAACCACACCACCTCGGAACATTTTCCGTGAACCAAGCCGGAAGTCAAAAATCCGAGTCCTTTTTGACAGATTTTTCCACAGAAATTGTAGTTTCAACCAAAACAGTGCATCTTTTGGACACGTGGATGAATACAAATCGGGTGAAATTACACATTGACATACATTATATTCATATCAAACATTCTTTAGCACATTATCGTACCTATTATCTATAAGATACTGTATATCCATGACCTGGTGGGTAGGCTGCCGATCACAGCCCAGCGCCTCTTGAAAGCTCATGCCGTAGCGTTCTGCCGCAGCTTCCATGGCATCGTAGAGACAGAAGTTCGTCTTCTCCATCAGCTCGCAGAACACCTCGAGCTGCGCTGCTGGTGACCTTACCTTTAAGATCCTTTAAGGGTATATAATTGAATAGCGGGGAGGAATCCAATGTCTGAAATTGAGGTATAGATAGGTATAGCAGTATAGCATACCCTGAGAAAAATGTGTGTTTCTTAATTTGAAATATATATGAACATGAATAATCCACGGAATTTTGGGGTACCTAAGGAGAGAAAGACCGAAAGATCTAATGAAAAACGTGTCGCTACAAATATCCAACCAAAAAAATGTGTTTATCTGACTGATGGAAGCCACTATTTTGTAGCCCAAATTTGGAGCACCCGATTCCAGCAAATCTTCCCTTCATCCAATTCCGGGAGATTTTTCTCGGATTTTGTTGGAGATATGATGATGCCAAAGAACAAGGCAAACGATTAGGGGAAACATGGGGAAACACCTTTGGGGATATGACACGACCAAATGATCCCAGATGATCCCAGCCAGTTGAAATTTTCGATGTGACTGCTGATCATTTACCCACACCTACCCAACACGAAAGTCATGGACCATGAACGGTTTGCCCAGCCTGGCCCTTCATCACCAAGAGTTGAAGATCACCTCGGTCAAATGTGAATGTGACACTGCCAAAACTGTTTCCACCGTGAAACCTGCAACATGGAATCCTGAAAAACCTGTCAAAAGAATAACATAGTGTCGCTGCAGTGCTGCTCTTCCAGCTTAAACTGAGTTTGGATGTGGAGACGTGCCCTCAAGACCTAAAATGTAAATGTATCCCTCTAGATTCCCCAGTCATAAGGATATAGCATTTGGAAAACAAAGCAAAAACATCAGCTTCAACAAAGCCAGGTGGTTGCCGAAAAAAATATATACCTATCTATGCCAGAAATCCCATGGTTAAGCGTGGCTTTCCCGAATAAAAGTGCCATTGATTAGTGCTAGATCCCCAGTTTTCAGACGCACCCAAATATCATATCAATCTGGTTGGGCAGATCCCAGTATAGCCCAAATACATCCCCCCTTTACATCCTCATTACGGTCATTTACAGATGAGATTCCCAGTATATCTTCCCATAAACCCTAGTTGACCCTAATCCATGCTAATCCCACATGTTGGTGACTCTCCATCCTTAAGCCTGTCCATTGAAATCCCCTCAAGTTTCTCCATTTTTTGCAGCTCTTCCCCCATGGCCCCCATGGCCATGGCCCCGATGCTGCGGCAGGCACTGGTCGCCTTGATGCTGATGGGACTGGGCGCCTGCAGCAGCACCGCGGCTTCACCAAAGGAGTCGCCTGCCGTCAGCTGGGCCACCACCTTCTTATCGCCTGCCAGGATCACCCGGAGCTTGGCAGCCCTGGCATATGAAAAGGCTTAAAGGGGACCCAAAAAACCATCGTGATATGATTGATATGGTAATACCATGTGATTTATGACTGAAAGTGCCTTGTTGCCAGGTTTTTGGTGTCCTTTTTTTATTATGGTTGCACAAGTTCGTGAGCTGAGCTGGTTTGCGGCACCTGGCAGCTGGCTTTGGGATCTTTTTTTGGAACTGGTGTTTTTATTCGGCCGGATCTGGGAACTTTGCTGAGCCCTTTCTGGCCTGAAAGAACTGCAATGGATGATGAGGAGCCGATGGTTGGAGCAGATTAGCAGCACAAAAATATGAATCGGACGGTAGCATGGACACCAACTAACTATATATATATAGTGTATATATATATAGTATATAATATCGAAAACACCCTGAAACAATGCCAAATCTCCCTTGTTCCATGCCATTTCCCCTGTCCCAAGTCAACTGCAGACCAAGGGTCGTTTGACTTCACAGCTTCCAGCCAAGATGGCATAGAAATTCTGCTGATCGACTGGAGCTGACTGTCGCAACAGCCTCAGGAGCCAGGTGCCCGACTTACAGGCTGGTTCCGTTAGCATTCATTAGCTAGTTCTAATATATGCAACCCCTTAGGAACGGCAATGATTTTCCCAACTGATGATGTGTCATGTTGCGAGTTGTACCCTTATCATGGCCCAGCCATGGCACACATCATCCTGAAGTCGTTCTTGCTCCGTGAAGTTCTGAACAAACAAGGCGCACACCTCCTTCGAGGCGACGAAAGACCAGGGTCCCGATTAAAACCCAGGGCTTTGGCGTTCAAAGGGACCTGCAACGATGGTCACTGTAGCAACTATGATCGTCTTTCCAGTTTTTGTGACTCATTAAACCAAAGTTGTACTATATGACTGCAGGCGAAATATAAAATATATCAAAATGTGTAATTCTGACAACTTCATGACAAGTATCTGATCGGTTTGTGGCTCTAAATTGTTGTTCTGAGGGTACTCCAAAATTTTATGGCGAATCATCATGTTCCCATGTTTTCCTCATGCAAATGCCAAATTACGTGTGGTAAATAACGATTTCCAGACCCAAATCAACCCACCTGAGCAATTAGTGTTCACAATCCCTCTGTCATTCGATTACACTGCGTGGTTCATCGAATCGGGATTCACAACTCATGGTTTTCATCATCCCCCAGGCATATCCCATATGCTCCACGGTGCTGGAATATTTACCACGATCTACCCCATAAATGGCCCAGTTATTAAGGTAAATATACTAATCCCTTCCTCCTAATACTAAACCTCCCCCCCCCCAATACAAAACACGGCAGGTAGTTTTTAGTATTAGGGGGGTATTTATTATTAGGGAACCAAATCGAAGTCATGTTAATTAATTAATTAAATTTCCTTATATAACGCAATTAAAATATTGCCAAAAATGGCAGTTCGAAGCTTACCCCTAATACTAAATTAAAACCCTTAATACTAAAAACTATTTTTTCCGATCTCAAAATCAATTAAATTTCCTTATATAACGCAATTAAAATATTGCCAAAAATGGCAGTTCGAAGCTTACCCCTAATACTAAATTAAAACCCTTAATACTAAAAACTATTTTTTCCGATCTCAAAATCAATTAAATTTCCTTATATAACGCAATTAAAATATTGCCAAAAATGGCAGTTCGAAGCTTACCCCTAATACTAAATTAAAACCCTTAATACTAAAAACTATTTTTTCCGATCTCAAAATCAATTAAATTTCCTTATATAACGCAATTAAAATATTGCCAAAAATGGCAGTTCGAAGCTTACCCCTAATACTAAATTAAAACCCTTAATACTAAAAACTAGCCCCCCTAATACTAAACACCCCGGGATGAATTAGTTTTTAGTATTAGGGGGAGAACCCACAAATGGTAGGTTGATTTTTGAATTGTTTTTTAAAGGGGATCAATTAAAAGTCAAATTGGCCAAACTGAAATTTTCGGAAATTGGAGATGGATGCCTGTTTTTAGTATTAGGGGGACGTTTAGTATTAGGAGGAAGGGATTATACATGCACCATATGGGTATTGGTAAACTAATATAACTATGGAAAATCACCATTTTCAATGGGTAAATCATGGTAAATCCACTATTTCAATGGGCCATGGCTTCAATAGCTATTTTGACATAACCAGAGGCACGCCTCGGGTGCGTCCGCAAAGGCCTTGATCTTGCGAAGGCTGGAAATTCGGGTGACCCCGGCCGCAGCCTTTGCCTCGGAAAGTTGCGGAGCTGGGGAAGTTGGGTGGATCCTCTTCTTTGGAGTGATTGAGAGCGATTTGTAGTGATTGGTAGTGATTTATAATGATTTTGGATGTTACATATAGTCCTTATAGTGATTTTGTAGTGACTCATTTTGATTTATGAAGAACAAAAATGCGGATCCAAACATGATAGGAAAAAAGTAAGTTGCTTTCAATGTTTGGACTTGATGATAGGACGGATCCAAACAGCAAAATGGATCAAAATGATGTGTTTTGATCACCAGAAAATGGATGAAGGAGTTGACTTGACCAACATTTTGTGACTCACCGAGACTTGCATCTTATCCAACTGATCCAACGGGCAAAGGACGAAAAGGTGTAAGAAACAGACATGATACACAGGCGTTGGAATTCAACCAACATTGCAGCAACATTGGCGATTTGACCCATCAAGAGTGGGAACAAATCTGGCAGAAACAACAAACTCAGAAGGAAAAGCCTGGCAGGGCAGCTTCCAAGATCTGAAAACTCTGCATTTTTTGATCTGCGAGCCAAGTGGCAGATCGAAGTAGGGCCAACCAGGTTTGATTTCGACCCACCAATTGAGAGTATGACCTGGGCTGGGAAGCAATGGATCCACCAGGACACCATCTATTTTCATCTATTTTCATGGCTGTTTACTAGGATAATCATAACAAAAAAGTCTTTGAAAAACCTCACTTGGGATGTTATAATACTAGGAGGAAGATTACCCGTTGACCCGCTGAGCCGAGTAGTTCTCCAGCTGCTGCGCTCAAGTGGCTCATCAGTGGACATCAGGGCTGTCTGCATGGGTGGCTGCAGCCTGCAAGAATCAATCCGAGCTGATCCAGAAACCCACCAGCCCCGGAGGTTGAAGTTGAAACCAAAGACTCTTCAGTCCAAAACCATCCAAAACCTATCTGTCCAATCCATTTTTACCGGTTTTAAATGTTTTCTCATATGAGTCATGCTTGCACCCTCGGTGGGTAGACCCTGTTCACTAGCTGTGCGTGGTTCATCCTCTTAGTCTTCGTCTCGTGGCTATCCTAAAGTGCCAATTTCACCGAAGTCAAGAAGTCCCACCTGGCGAAAATGTCAAGCATCGCCTTCCAAATTCCCAGCACGAACTGCTCAATTAGGAAAATCAGCACCCCAGGAGAGAAGTTCATCGTTGGTTTCATCTGCAGGTGCGTCACGAATTGACTGACTTCCTGGGTCTGCTGATATCCCCCACGTTAACGTTTCTGCTGATATACTCTGTGAATAAATGCATACGTCATACATATATGCATATACAAATACATTTACATACACATGTGCATGCAATGTAGTGCATATACATCTACATATGTATACACATCGTGTACATGTACATATTTTTTTGACTACATGTACATATTTGCATATGCATTTATGTATATATATATACAGTGTGCATATGTATATATATATAATTATATATATGTGTGTATACGTACACATACGCATATGCATACGATATGGCTCCAAACAACCGTATGGAGATAAGGGGTGCCATAGTTAGCTATGTATCATCTTAAAACGTGCCAAAATGCCACCCCTTGGAAAGCGCCGGTGCTGGTACATGTACGTATACATATGCATATGTATGTTGCGTTGCATGCTTATAATATCTTATAATTGTGTTCATCCGATGATTCATCACCTGTCTTAATGGTTAGATTTGGTTCCCTTCCTGTTTACCGTATAACCATAGGGTCATAGCCCGTGTTTGCTGCTAAAATATATCATATATATATATCACTTATTATTACTTATTATGTATCATCATACATTATCTACATCATTCCACTTTTTTCGGTGAGATCTCCATATGTGCCATGGTCAAAACAGGGTACGGAAAGGCTGGCCATCCATATCACCATGGGAATCCATTCCCATCATGTCCATATGAATCCCATTGAATCCCTATGAAAATGCCTTGATGACCATCCCGCAAGATGGCTTAATCTATTTCATCCAACTTTCGACCATGGCACAGTTTTTTGGCTGAAATACTTAAGATTATCATATCTATCCACTTTTCGTGCTGAGATCCCCCCGTTTACCACAGAAAATCCACCACTTCGAAGCTCTAGACCTCCATTTGCTTCGGGGATTTCCCAGTGCTACGTTTGATGACACCAAGGGGTATTATCCATTTATACCCCATTACTATCCCATTATTAGTCATGATTCTCCCAACAAAAAATCCCATGATGAAAAGCCACTATTAATGGGATTCAGCTTGGCAGTTTATCTCATTTACCCTCTGGTAAACTAACATAACTATGGAAAATCACCATTTTTAATGGGAAAATCCACTATAAATGGCCATTTTCAATAGCTACGTTAAATTACCAGAGGGTATATCCCATTTATATCCGTAATAAATCCCCTTTTATAGTCGGTGGCTCGTTATATCTCATTAACTATAGATTATCCCATTTTTGTCCCAAAAAAAATTATCCCATTGTTAACCATGATCAACCATTATGAACCCCATGCCCATGTAACTCTCCCCCATGTTGGTTATATTCCGATATGTTCCGATTATATCTCCATGATATTGCCATTAAACCCACATGTTTGAAGCCTAATCCCATGTTGAAGGGTATGACGATTATTTATCACTATTATTCCAATTATCATCCCATGAATCATGTAACCCCCTGGAACTCCCTCCATGTTGAAGGCAACTTTGGTCGTGGTTTTTTCGGGCCGAAGATCACTGGAACTGCTGCGCCAGTTGTTCCGCAGCCGCTCGTCCAACAAGCGACCGCCCAGATCGGCCAGCGGGCGCAAAGTGCCGCGGCCCAACTGCTCGATGAAGAAACCGAAGACCAAGGGACCCTGGACCTGGGACGAATATTGAAAAAGGTGATTTGATGGGATTTAATTGTAGAATTCTCCATGGAATTTCATGGAATATTTATAGAATATAATATGTGATGGATAATATTATGGAATTTAATGCAATTTCATGGTGATTTGGTGGGATTTAAATGGCCAATGACCTGGAAACAATGGTTCATCAATGTAAATATGGCTCAAATATGGCCAATGAACCGTCAAAATATGGTGAATAGGACAACTTGGAATTATTGATCAACATGGCAAATACGAGATTGAAAATGTATTATCATATACTTCACATATATATATATATACATACAGAATGCCTTTGGATGATATTGACCATGCCATTGA